ACTGGAGAAATCAGCGTGATAAGCTTAATTTTTCTTCCCTGTCACTTTGTTTTTTTGCCTCCATTATCAGAGGTGTCACTAGTCTTTAACTTATAGAGGGAGTGGGACATGTTTTAGATGGATGGATGAGATGTATAGGCCCCAGTTATCATGCTGATCTGTTCAAAGAAACATTATGTACTGCATATACAAGTGTCAGCCCAAGACCAAGCCATAAGTTAGTAACATACAGATCATCGCCATCCCAAGAAACAGCCTTGCCACACTAGACGACAGTTTGAACTGCTCCGGCCACACTGCCTGGATTGTGTCTTCTTTATTATTTACACTCGGTGGACAGCAGGATCAGATTTTCTAGGCCGAGTGTCTTTATTGCCTGTTGTCTGAGTTACAACTTTGACCATTTCTCTTACTGAGACCTTGAACTCAGTATAAAATAATCCGTGATTACACTGAAAGTTACAGTGCAGCTCAGAATACATGGTAACATGCCCTAAGATGGTCACAAAAATGTCTATCCTTTAGCTTTTAGTACTATAATTGTTGCCCTAAAGTTAACTTACTGCTCCGTTTGCTAATGTAATCTTTTCACTGACTCATAGGCACTATTCTCAAGAAAAATTAACATTAGTCTCTGTTGTTAATAGAGCTTGAATTATGTTCTTGGTGTAAAAATGTGTTTTGGGTACACAGGTCATGATGAAATTTTGAGTCAATTCCCAGTCAAGTCAGAATGGATAAACAGACCATGAAGTATGCTTTTAGCCCTTGAAACAAGCCTGATCCTAAAATCACCTTCCACTGTCTGAAACCTGATCTGTGTGCACCCCCCACAATGTCAAGTTGAATACTGTGTGGCTCCAGTGAGCTCAGCAACCCCCACTCGGTAGGTGGGATCTGTACTTTATCAATTGAAATGATGCTGTCAAGTGTAGTATCTCACTCACACTAACATAATGTTTTCTTAAAATTGCTCCAAATACGTAACAACATTGTACACTCTTTACACATTAATCTATATGCAGGTCTCCATTAGATTACATAAAGTGTTTGCTAGTCACGCCGGGGTCCACATGAACAAGTAATAACCTATACAACATCTAACAGTATGCAGAATCAATGAATCTAGAAAATACAAACCAAAAATTAACATCAGAGGCTGAAGAAACTGTGCAGATTAAAGGGTCATCAGTAAAAGTGATATCAATAACTTGCTTTTAATTTGTCTGTAGTATACTATACTACTTGCGGCTATGGTGTGTGTGCTGTGTATAATTTTGTGTTATGTTTGCGCTGTCTGTTTGTTTGTTCGGTGCTGTTCTGTCACTGTATGTTTTAATTGTTACCCTAAAGCTGACTGCGCTACAGTACATCAAATGGTAACATTTAGGTATAATATTGTAAATACAATGAAAAATTATGAAAAAGGTCCACACCAGTGTATGTAGCTTGACAAATAAACACTATTAACAGTCATTGATTTTACAGTTAAATCCTTGATTTCCAGACCAGACGCCCACACCAACACGTTTCTTGAAGAACTGTGAGGAGGTGGGATTGTTCAGTGAACTGGACTGCTCCATTGAGCAGGAGTTTTGCAAGGCCCACGAAGAAGAGGACAGTAAACAGGTAGAGTGAAAATCTGCAGGCTTAAAAAAAAACTAGGTTAAGACAAAGCCACAGCCACCCGCCCAGAGAGATTAGATAAAGGGGTTGTGAAGTGCAATCTGGTGCTACATCAGTCATGTCACTAATAAAAGCCCACATTCTATGAAGTGAGATGTGCACTTTTAATAGATTCACACACCCAGACCACATATAATTGCGCTCTGCTCACTTGTAAGAAGCTGATAACCACAATTGTGCGTATACTTTTGATATTTTCTTCTTTTCACACAATGTAGTCAAGTGTTGCACACCCAGCTCTTGTTGTGCCCCAGAGGCCATGCTCCCTGATCCCCAATCCTCATCAGTCTTGTTGACAGTGACAGGCAGACCCAGCAGGTGGAGAGTTGTCACCACCACAGGTGAGGAGAAAGGAGGTCAGATTCTCCCCCTGTGGCCTCAAACAACTCTCCAGCCATCTCTCAGGGAGGGAGTCCTATTTCTTCCTAGATGTAAAAACAGATCCCTGAGACAACTTTTGTGGCAGCAATAAAAGATCTGGCCAGACATTTTCACATGTGAGTCGAGTTGCAGAGCTTTACCTTTGACAAAAGATGTGATCATTTATGCATTATAGATCTGCCCTGAGGCACCTCTACCTGAAACATGGGTACTAGTCAAATTACCACAAGACAAACTGCTTATCTAATGTCTGAGAAGATGTGCAGCGCATGCTGAAGCTAAGCTGTCGTCTGGGTGGTTTGGCTCTGGAGCTCATCTGCGCTCAGGTCAGCCACGTCTAGCCTCCCGAGCCTGTGTGGTTTATGATGGGAGGCTCTGCTAAGTCAGCAGGAGGCGAGTCAGAGCAACACTCTCTGGGAGAGCAGCGCATAGTAGGCATAGATAGGGAGCCAAAGTATTTAAACTTGAAACAGCAGTCGTTCAATATAAATATAAATTAGTCCCATATTCATATGCACACATTCCAATGTGAGTAGAGGAGGTAGTTGTATTGTGTTCCTAATATTAGTCTATGTTCTCCTTTGTATGTTTGATTGCTGCCGGTGATTTTTTTCACATTTGACTCAGTGCAAGTTACTTCAGCTTGTTTGTTTTATGCCAGGATGCTGTACGTGTGTAGCTTGCAGATATCTTTCCTACAGTGCAGGTTTACTTTAGGAAGCACTGTATTTGCCATTACATGTAACAGAAATAAAACAAACAAACTGTCCTACTGAGTAAATAACAATAAAGGAGCCTGGTCTTCACGAAACTCCCAATTTTTTTCCCAGCCATTTGGAGCCCAGTGCCAAGCAGTTGTACTGTTGAGTTGGCTTGAAAATACAACTTTCAGGGACAATTTTGGTGCTTTTGACAGATTCTTAACCTCGTATATACCTGCTTGATTTCTCCTTTCTTCCTGTCCACAGAACATCTCACTGCACGGCCAGGCAGGCCAAGGCCAGCACCAGCAGTCCCACACACGGATGGGTAACCATGATACCAGCATAGTGATCCAGCAGGCCCTTCCCTCTCCTCAGTCCAGCTCCGTCATCACTCAGGCTCCATCTACAAATAGACAGATCGGGTAGGCGACACAAACATTTAGCAAAACATCAGCAAAATAAAGTGAAGTAACATTTACAAAGAATGTAGGCTTTACTAGACTTGGAACAGAAAGAGAGGAAAGGATTGTATTTTTATCCTTGCATCTCTTTCAAAATTCATTTGGGAGAAGCAGTATTAACCGCTGACAGACCGACAATGAGAAGTGCAGTGATGGTGTATAGCCTCTCACCACAAGTGTACCCCTGTTGTAGCAACAGCCTTAGGCTCAGCTTGGTCCCTTTGTGTCCATGCCAATTGTCATCCCTCTGTAGTCTCTGAGGTAATGTCAGTGTTTTGTTACATTTGGAGCAGTGTCTGTGGGACTGGCGATTCATGTTTTGCTCTTCATTCAGTATTGTCCCACAGCAGAACATGCTCAAGAGGGTCCCAGAGAACAAGATGTGATCACTGGTAAAGCCTCAGCTGTGACTGCTTTTACAACAGTTTAGCATTTCATTCCCTAAAATAGTTACTTTCATTGTATGAGAATGTCAGCCATATCCTTAGAGCTCTGTTTGTATGATACCTTTGCATACAGATGTATGATAACAGAGGATGGTGACAGTACATGTGCTGCTTTTTAAGCTGCCCGCAGTGTTCAGTGGTTAAGGAGTAGTTCATAGGGTTTACAGTATTTTCAACCATAGTCTTAATCAGGCCCTGTGCTGATGACCTACTGTATATGTGCCCACCATCATGTGCAGTTCTTGGAGGCTAATGTCTCTTTGGCCTTTTTTGTGTGAGTTAATCATCACCAACACTGACACATACATGTTTCCTTATGAGGGCATTCCCCTGACCCCATTCACTGTTTATCCCTTAACTCCCGGCACCCTCAAACTTGTGCCAGAACTTTGTTACTGCAGACCAGGTCTGTGGCGAGCTAGATTTACAGCTTGAGCAGCTAGTGAATATTGGATAGGAGGCGCATTACTAAGCCTGACTGACACCCCATCAGGCTCTTTGTTGAGGACAGGGGTGGAATTTCATCCTCTTTGGAAGAGCAGCAATCACTGCCAGTAACAGAGACATTGCCGGGCTTGCTTCACCTGAGTTTACCTGTCATTAAAAACTCCTCACCTTGCTAAAGCACAGACTCTCCACTTCACTTCTCTTCACATTCTGTTATTATCACAGATCCTTCACTGATTTGTTGAAAGACGGGTGGCTTTACTGCTTGAACACACAAAAGCACTTTATTTAAAAGTCAGAGCTGGTATGCTGTGTGTTAGTGGCTTTCACCCACTGAACGGCACAGCTGCAGTTATTTGTTGTACATTATTTGTGGCAGTCCCCAAGCAGCAGTTGTATGTACAGAAACGGTTGTTTACTACTAATCCTAGCACATGAAGTGGATGAGTAAATTCACACCAGAGAAAACTGATCTGGAAACATTCACATCGGCAGGAAAACGGGTTGAGGAAACCCCTCCACTGAGAAGCAGCACTTCCACAGGAAGCCATTAGGGCAAAGCAAAGGCTCTGTGAACAGGGTCTCTCCACAGGAACTTCCTATATACAGAACCAGCCGACTTCACAGGCTAGCTGTATTGTGCCCAGACTGACAGTCTGTAGGTCGGTAAGCCTACTGAAGGTCAGACCACTGGCTCCCTATCGAGCCTGTTACTGCATAATCCTCCATGTATTCCTGTTACTGTCAGCTGCCTCAGATGTAGGCTCCAGTATGTTTAGATTTCTCATGTCTTTGTGAAGAAAAGACAGTCACTAAAACTAAAATTTTAGCGCATATGTTTCGTACTGTACAAAATTCTTAATTGTGTTCAAAATAACTTCAGAGACAATTAAATTGTTACTCTTGTCAAAAATGGTGAAGTTTATGTATGTGATAATATACAAAGCTTTTAATATTGTCACACTTTATGTGGTGCTGTGGTGAATAAATCTCTGAATGAGACAAATTCACCAAAGTCAGTTTAATCTCACTTCTGTCTGCTTCCTCAGTTTGTTCCTGTGCCCTGATGAACGCACAGCGTGAGCATCCAATGAATTAGGATAACAAGTCATTTTCATTGCTCCGCAATATTTACTAAAGAGCTTTGAGGCTTGGAATCAATTAGGATTGGCTTTCCTCAAGTCCATTTACTTTAGGGTTGAGCTGGGCCTGCAGCTGTGAAACCTGAGGACCTTGCTCTCTCGCTCTGTTTCTCTCTCTCCTTCAGCTCCAAGTCCCTAAACAAAGTCTTTGAGGAGCTGCACTGACACAAACCAGTGTTAAAACCAGGCATAGAAAGATCCAGCAGATTTTATTGTCATGGTTATCATTATCATACAAAGGGAAGCCGTGTCCAACAGATTTGAATGCTCTCTGCTTCTCAATTATAAACATCTGGCACTGAGTTATGTCAAAGTTAAATATGTTGGACTTTATTAGTCAACCGTGCAAGATACAATATTCTGTGGAAACCTTAAACTTTTGACTGGTAGGAGGGGATGTGCAGGTAGATGGGTGTATGCGTAAATCATTATAATTAGCCGTTTTTCTATTTTGCCTCAGTAGAGGAATTCAGTTCAGTCGTTTCCAATATGTAGAATCGACCAGAATGCAGTCAGGTTAAGTGAGGAGTGATTACAGCACAGATGTAGTCAAATATCTGAGAATGATATTTAAATACAGGCACCTCTCTCAGTTTTGACTGTGCATACAAACGTGCTTTTATTAAATGAGAACTTTTCTTTAATAGCTGAAATTAATGAGTCATTAAATGCTGAGACTTGTGGGAACCTTCAAGTCCACTGACTGGTAATGAGAGGTGGTTTTTGGTTTGTCACCATAAAACCAAAACAATCTATTTTAAAATGTTTTAAGTTTCTGTTCGTGATGTCCAACCTTGGGTACATTGTGTGCAACTTTAATTTTGGCTGCCACTTCACTGTGCAACACCCTGAAGGAAGTCAATTTGTGGTTCTGTTTTCCATGCTGCTGTAAATGCAGAATATTTTTCACACCTCCGAGTCACCAGCTATTTGTGGTCCTTGTTCTTGCCTTTAAGGGAAGTAGTGCAAATAGTTGCTGGTTTGCATGCCTACAAAGCAGCCAGGTCTCATCTAAAGCCCAAGTATAGAGTGACGTATTTCTTATAAACCTTTAGTCTTTTCTCATGAAGATCTTGGTGATATGCTGAGCAACCACCACAAGCCAATCTTTGTATTTCAAAGAATTAGGTTGACCGAGTATTTATTTTTGCCGCATCAAATTTTTTTGTCATTTCTGACACTTTCTAAAAACCAGCAATAAAATTTATCAGCACAGCTTCTAGCAAATAAAATGCAATTTCATATGCAATCTGTCCATGGTCTGTCACACACAGTATAGCTTTGTTCAGTAGCCCTCTTGGCTGTTTACACAGAGTGTAGTACTTATGCTCTCACAGTACAATTAATTAATCATACTGCTGTGTTTCAGACAGCTTGGAAGATTTAGATCCCAGGATGCATTGCATATCACATTTTTATAGATTGTATAACACCTTTTCCTATGTATGTTACAGTAAAAGACCACTGTGCTGATTCTGCACCCATGGCATGTATACTGTATATATAAAGTATAATCATTTTTATTTTTCTAATGCACATTCCTTTTTGTTGTTTGCACATTCTTTTTCTCAGTCTTATCTTATTTACTCTAGCAGGTCTACCCATTGCCTTAAGGAAGAACATTGTGCATGCACATTAAGAGCCACTGTACCATAGTCAAATTCCTTGTGTGTTCAACACACTTGGCCAAGCCAATAAAGCTGAACCTGATTCTGAGAAAGCCTCTACACCTTTGCAGACAGTTATGGACTTTCCATGGACAAACTTTGACCTTATGAACTGAACAATTTAAACAAAACTTCCATTATTATTGTTTATGATTAGATTACACTGATTAGATTGCATTCTTTAGTGTAAAGTGGTGATAAGGAGGGAGGTCTGTTCTGAGTACAGGCACAGTGCCTCCACAAAATACCTGAGGTGCCATCATGCTCTGACTTGGCAAATGCCCTTTTCCACAAGCAAATAAAGGCAATAGTCAGTTGGGTATAAATTGTAGGGATAATGTACATACCCTAATTGCAGATGGAGAAAATCCAAGAACAATTACACAGTGGTACATAAAAACAAAGGTATTGTAATCAATTACATGAAAAGAAGTGAGAGAAAAAGAAAGAGACAGAATGCTGTATGTACATCTGACCTGAATTAAGATGAGCTCATTGTGTACTGCAGTGGATTTAATAGTGCGTTTGTCGAGGAACGCCCAGACTCTGTTCCCTCTCATTCCAGCGGGGCTGTGTCATCCCTGCCCCAGGGCCACCACACATGCAGCCTCCTGCACAAGCAACTCACACACACAGGGACATGCCTCACAGCTCTGGGGGAGCATGGAAAAGGGGGATCAGAGGTGGACAGAGGAGAGGAAGAGGGGGATAGGAGGTAGATGGAGTGGAGGAAATGAAGGATCAGGAGGACAGAAGAGAGATAGATGAGAGAAGCTTCAGATCTGGAAGACATAACTTAGCTAGCTAACCAGGTGAGAAAAATGATAAAAAAAACATTTCTGCACAGTGAAAGCAAAACATGTTTAGATGGAAGCATGCATAAATGGAATCAGAAGAATGAAGGCATGGGAAAAATGCACCAAGATTATGAAAGACAAGTGAAGTTGGAAAACTGAATGAGAGACACAAAGATGAGACTGATGTTAGAAGACAGGAATCAGATGGCAGGACAAGAGGAAGGGAAGATGCTTAATGAGGAGAGGAACAAACATGCTAAGCACTAGTATGAAGCATGATTGAAAGTGAAAGGTGCTGTGTATGCCAAATGTTACAACACAAGTCAGGTGCTGCTGACAGATGCTAGGCTAGTTTGTAACAAGTTGACATAGTTGTGGCTGAAGTTTTTCTGATTCACTGGTGGAATGTACTGACATGCTGTTCACTTTTGTTGAAAATGAAAGACAGCCCATTTTCATTGTCCTCAGTCTATGGCATCTGATGACTCAAAACTGTGTTATAGTCGGTAAATAAATACTGCAATGCTCACACTAATTTGCTTCATAGTGTCATTCACCACCATTCCTCAACTGTGATTTTGGCTTGGCTTTACTCAGACCGGGGCTTCCTGATGTGAGGACACCCCATCCCAGATCCATTCCAGTGCAGCACCCTCTCTGCATCCATCTCTCCACTAGCCCGCTAATAAAAGTCAGCCTGTGTTGTAACCCATTAGAGCTGATTTATTTGATCAGATTCATATTATTTCCTCAGTCCAAACCCCATGGCACTCTCCTCCCACCAGTGATTAAAGGCAGTAAATCAGGGGCAGGTCCTGTGCAGTGTTTACTCAGAGAGCCAGGCAGCTGCAAGCTGTTTGAGGCCCTTGTTTCTTTCTCTGTTTACCTCTGTCCCCATGGTGACTGCACCACCGTCTCCCGAACGTCTGGAACTTAGCCCTGGGCTGTTTTGGTTACGTTCGAAAGTTTTTCGCTGCTGTGTCTGCCCAGTGCTCGCAGTGACTTCACCCAGCTAGGAGTGAGCACAGAGATGTTGGACAAGTCAAAGAGGGAGAGGAGAAGGAAAAATGAGAGGAAAGGAGGGAGGGATGAAATCTGGGGGTAGGCAGGCACAGGGTGGGGGGAGGGCGAAAAGCCAAGAGCATTACATCACTACTGGAGCAGAGTCAGAAAGGGAAGGATATGAGTCAGTGGACTGACTGCACCTCTCTCTGCCTCTCCTGCTCCTCTTGAATGGCAGCCAAGCACCTCATGTTTAAGTCCCTAGTAGTTGAGTTGCAGTTGGGACTGTGGGGATTGGGACAGTAAAGCTTAATGTGTGTGCAGACTGCAGGATTTGTAGGTTAGAGCAAGCAGGCCCGGAGAGGGTTGAGTTTAGGTGTGGGCACCCCGAGGGGTCCAGAAGAGAGTTGGAGAGGATTAACAGGGTGATGAAGGTTTGTCAGTTCTGCTCCACTGAGGAGAAAAATGGCTGGATATCTTAGAGAAATAGACTGTTGAAGAAGAGATAAAAACCAAAACCAACTCAGGTCTAGCAGTGATGTCATGGTGGAGTGAAGGTGGGTGAGGGGGTGGTGCATTGGTGGTTCTTAGGCGGGGATTGTGGAAGAGAGCTGGGTGGCTAAGAGCAAGGCACTCAGTAATGTGAGAGTGCAGGGCCAGGACTGTAGAGTGTCTACCTGCTCTCCCCCGGGGCCCACAGCCCAGGCTATTATCAATCCCCTCAGTGGAGCCACAGCCTGTCATTATTCACTCACTTGCATATACACACGTGCACGCTCACACGGAGATGCGTGAACATTCACACGCTGGCGCATCCACTTATTCAAACACAAACACAGTTTGGCATGTAATGTTTTCATAAGCATGGACATGAACAAAGAAACAGAAGAGAGCTACAAAGTAGGACCGCATTTTGTAAAAGAAAAATTTATAATGCTATTAGAACTCCTGCAACACAAGATGTTATTGAAAGAATTCATTGCACATACATACTGTAGGTATAGGGCTGTGACTAACATTTACTTTTACTATTGAATAATCTGCTGAATACTAACGCTAACCCTAACTGACTAATCGAAGAATTAGAAGGCCAAGTACTCCACATATACTGTAGAAGGTAACTTGTCACAAAAAGAAAACATTCTTTCAGACACTCGGTGGCAGAGCAAAGTATAAAGTTATATTGAAAGCCACTCAGCCATCCAGAGTATGCGTCACGGCAAAAATAATACAAAAGAATACAGAAATTGGTAGGTTTATAACATGTCTGACAATAGTGCCCACTACAAGTTGCCATAAGTCGATGTGACGTCTTCAAATTGCCATGTTTTGTTTGACCAATAGCTGAAACCCCAGAAAGAAGCAGTAACACAAGCCCAAGTAAAACCAAAGAATTATTAATTTAAACAAACAGGAGAGCCACTAATAGTGGCTTTTTGCTTCCTGTCAGTTCAAAATGTCTTTAATAATCAACACAGTCTGCACAGAGCTGAGTTAATCCCCAGAAGAAGTGCTGTCAGATGCTAGTGTTGTTTTTTTCCTCCCACTGGAAAAGCAGGTTGTGTTTTGGTGTATGGTGGTGACAGACGCTGTGTTCGTCCTCCTGCTGCCCTGCTGCAGGTGCGCAGTTGCTCACTTACAGGCGCAGAAGGTGAGACGCTGATGTGCTTGTGCTGTGCTAGTAGTTTTCATTTTCTTAAATGAGGACAGACACAAAGAAAAACGGAGATTTTTATATGTATCCAGAGCTGTTAGTTGTTAGGTTGCAGTCTGACTCAACCTTCCTATGAGAATACCAGCACTTTAGAGCATGTAATTGATCAGATATTGCCTGGGAATCTATTTTTAAACCATTGAAGGATCTATCTGGCATACATGTCTTTATTTCTGCAACATTAAACTTTATATATTTAGTTAAAATGACTTCACTAGTCATTTTGAAAGTACTTTTTCTCATTTTAACACAAAAGATTTTCCATAAAAGTCACTCTGTGGTTCAGGTATGAATTAAATCAGCATCACAGATGTACTGTATACAGCATACACAAGGTTAGGATGTCCTTACACATTTAATAATATTAATATATGCATACATAGGACAACACTGTGGTGCATTCAACTTTTAAATAATGCATTTTGTAAAAGAAATTAGATATAGTTCAAAAACACAACACTGTGAATGAGTCAAAAATATGCTTATTTAAATTCAAAATCTAGCCAAACAGGTATTATCTACAAAATCAGCAGCATGTCACTACCACCGCCTCATGACTGTTATTTCATCCTTTTAAATGCTGGCAGAGTTTAAGCACAGAGGGAAGCTGTGTTGATGTAGTGCACAGCTACGCTGCATTCCGCATTGTACTTTCATGACTTTACCCATGTGGAAATGTTTGGATTTGCAGCGTTGCTCTTATGTCAGACGTGCTGTTAAATGAGTGTGATTGTGATAAATTAGGATGTTAGACAGGAATGACACACAGTCGGGATGGTAATGGTCTTGCGTGTGTGTAGAGCAATCTAAAATGTCTGGAGTGTAAATGCACATATTTAAGTTTGGAAAAATAAATCCAGGCTATGACATGGTCAATTGATTACATTAACCCATTGAACACAACCAATTTAAATGCTTCTTGTTAGCACTAACCTCTAATGCTCAAGAAAATTAAGCTTTATTGACTGGTGGGGTGGCAGCATTTATCCTGATGATACTGATAACTGGAGAATTATTGATTCTCCTGATCCGGATTATTAAAGAATCCTGCAGTGTTTTATAGGCACTGAATAGTTACTGTATGCGTGTGGGTGTAGCAGCACCCTGCAGCTGGGAATTTGTGTTCTAATAAACAAGGATTTTGGTGGCAGTTGTATATATAATGTGATCCTGTGCAGGTGGAGCCACCTGGGTGTTTGGATGGTGGCAGCCCCTGAGCCAGTGACTAAGACAGGACGGCTCACAATAGTTTAATCTTAGCCTGGGCCTCATCTTAAATGTGATTTATTGACGCAGCCATGAGTGTAGATTGGCCTGTTAGCCTGCGCGTGCCTTTGTCATCATGGTGGGAAATTTTTTTTCTGCTGTTTCTAAATGTGATTCTCATCACGGACAACTCATGTTGTTGATATGACAAATACAAATACTAATCATTATTTATCCATTTTGCTACATGAACTGTCCTTGTTTAAAGTGAAAACTCCCAGATTCCTCAACTTTCAACTGTATCATGTATTCAGTATGTAGCTACACGCTCTTTTTCCAGTGTGACTGTAGCAACAGGAACAAGAAGAAACTCAAAATGAAAAACAACAGGGGAAACATCTGCTCTGAAATAGCATGTATGTGAAATGTGTGAAATTTCTCATATTTAAGATTTTCCTCAGTAATCTTACATTGTAGAGTTGCAGTAGTCCCATGGCCTTTATGCACTTGCAGTTTGCTGCACAAATTTGTGCAGTGTTTGCAAAGAAAAGCATTTTCACTGGAGATGCAAAAGACACTTTGGTTAACTTCTCCTCTCTGGGATATTTACTGTGTGTATATGTTATATGACAAAACAAAGAATAATGTTCTTAGATTGAGTTCTCTGTGTGCGTGTGTTCTCAGGCCTGTCCCCGGCTCTCTGTCCTCGCTGCTACACCTACGAAACAGACAGAGACAGCCTCTGCCTGCCTCCATGCCTGGAACTCTGCCAGACCCGACCATGCCTGGCTCCTCTGCTGTGCTGATGCCTGTGAGTACAAGAATGGAGCACAGACCACATTCACTAACGGATGTACTCACACATGCAGAAGCAAACTCACTCACTCATATACTTATCAAGGAACTCAACTATTTCACCTCTGAGTTTGGACTATAGACAGACTTTATTGTAATTACACCAACAAGATTTATCAGACCAATACTGGGAAGCAGGGAATGATAACAACCCACAGAAAGCTCCTCATATCAGGATTCTAATGATACAACATATGTTTTCATTGTAACTTAAGACAGCCTGTGTTTATAGTATGGAAAAAACCTCCCATGTTTATTAAATTAAGAGCTAAGCTGTTTTGGGGAAGATTGGGGGTTCAGGAAAGGAGTGAAGGTTTGGGTGATATTTTTACACAAAACACACTTTGTGCAATTAAGATTGTGAGTCAGATTCTAGACCTAAGTCTCTGTGGATGGGGGTGAAGGATGTAGAAGGAGCCATTTCCCATGGTTACCACCACACCACCCAGAGTTCAACAGCTGGGGACACACCTATACATCCTGTCACAAAAATACAGGTTTCTTTTTTCCTGCATATACTACTATGAGAAATCCTGTCCACATCATCATGCAGGTGGCCTCTCCTCCTATTACACATGACCACACTGACCAGTGTCAGTCAGAGGCAGGCGATAAACAACACACCTGCATGAAGACAAACGCTGATGCATTCATACAGCTAACTAACACCTATTTGCATCTTGTTCACATTATTAGCACATAGTGCACTAAGACATTTGGGTTTATGTGTTAGTACTACACACTGGCAAGCACCACGCTATTATCAAAAATACACACAACCCTGTTGCACTAGCTTCCTGTGTTAAGTCCCTCTGTGCTGGCTTCCTGTTTTGGGTCAGCTCCAGTTATCATCACAGAAAGCTGTGCAAAGGGCAGCCTGACATGTGAAATCAGGCTCTCAGGTTTTCTCATCTCATCTCCTCATAGTCTCACCCTTTAAGTAAGGTATCGCTAAATAAACAGTTCTTAGCAGTTGCATTTGTATCAAAGGATTTAGAGCTATAGGAATAATATGTCTACATTTGTATGACTGTTCTTAATCTTCAGATGGAGAGGCAAATGTCCATGGGCTCCAATATGATGGGTATGCAAGGTCCTACCCACAGCAGCTCCTGCTCTTCCACCCACATTCCCTCCATGCACTCAGAAGCCAAACTGGTGAGTATATGCATGTATTCACATGGATATACACATTTATTGCACACCCATTCACAAATGCACACACACACACACACACACACACACACACACACACACACACAAGCTCAAAGTGTTGCAACTCTTTTTTCCACTGGGCTGTGCCAGAAAAGCTGCGTTCTTGGGTCTGTGTGGATTTCATCATTTGGTGCGTAATCAAAGCTGTCTGAACCTGCCAGTGCAGCACTGGAGACTCTGGCTAGAATAAAGGGCCCTTTATGTGGTTGTGACTGGGCTGCCCACCGACTGCCTGATGTATATCTTAATGTACAGAACTTGTTCTGTACGTCCTGCAACCTGTTGGCACTAGTTTAACACAGCAGGGGAAAAATCAAATGACCTCATCCTTCATAAAGCAGTGGGAACGAAACGTAGCTGAGAGAGAAGAGAGACAGATGGAGATGGGCTTTGTGGGTTAAATTATGTAGAGAATGACTGAAAGAAGGACAACCTGCCTTCAAGATCCAATTTTGCATGCTAGTACAATGCCAAAGACTGACAGAATACCTCTGATTAATGTCAAAAGGCTAGGCAGTTACACTCTAGGTGATATGAATTGATTAATACTGTAGCAACATGACCATCAGCCAACCTTTGTTTTCAAAATAAATAACTCTGGAAATGGAAAAGGCTCCATAGAAATAAGAACAAGTGTCATGATCTTGATATAAAAAAAAATCACAAACCATAATGAAAAGCACTGGCGTTCGCTGCAGAGCGGGAAAGAGAGAGCAGAGGTAGCAGAGGTCATTAGAAGAGTTATTGCCCTGATAGAGGAGAGTGGGAGCATTCCCAGGGCATTTAATTCTCCCTCTTCCTCCTGCTCTCTCAAGATCGATTGTCTTTGTACTCTTTTGAATCTCTACAACTGTTCCTATGGCAACACGCTGGGGTAACACAATATTAGTGTATTAGGCTTATCTCTCCTTTGGCCACCATCCAGACACATCTTAGTCTTTTTTTTCCTCCTCCTATCTATGTAACTGAATTGTCAATGCTCTGTTGGGCCTCTCACAAACATATGCAGTTGCTAAATGGCCACAGGCCCCCGGACCACCAACTTTCTGGTTAGTTGGCAATTTAGTCACGAGGCACAGCAACCTAATGTGGATCAATTGAGATTCTGGTCCCTGATGTCTGAAGGCAACTGATGGAATTCCATGATTGTGTGCAGAAAGTGAGAGACTAATTGTGTTATCAGGGTGCTATCTCCAGCATGGGTTTCATAAGAATAGACAGGGGCTCTAATGTCTGTAATATCCATGCTCAGGCCAGGTCGATAAATACGGACTTGCTATCGGATAACTGGGCCATGATCAGGCCCATGTGTCCCCTGCGACGTTCTCAATCCGGCTCTAATCACATTACCCCAACCATGTTGACTTTCCACCAATGGGAAATCTCAGCACTGTAACCCCACACCCCTGAGCCACGGACCTGGATGCACTCTTCCTGCTCGACGTTTACATTGTGAGGGCGGAGAAAGGCATTGAGTGGGACTTTGACAGACATGAAGGAAGTAGATAGACAAGCAGAGTGAGTGGGGAGTTGAAAGGTGAGAGAGGGTATTGATATTCTGAGACACCAAACAGTGAATGAGAATGAGAAATTGGAAAAATGTGAGTGACACAAGAGAACTTATGTGGCCTAGTTTTCAGCGCGTGTATATATGCGCATATGTGTGTGCTTGTTTGAGATTTTCTGGTAACTGGAGGCCTCAGCAGCAGGATTAACCCTCCCCTGTTGTAGAAAGCATGCCCAGAGCCTCGGCAAATGAAGGCTAATTGATTTTGTGGTGGACCAGAGCAGCATGGAGGCCTGTCTCTGGTGTAAATAGTTAATGAGCTGAAGGACTGCTGTGGCCCCTTGGGGACTCATATCTCGTTCTAAGCTCTCTGTTTGTGCTCTCTGGGCCAAAGCTTGTATCTGCATCAGTGCCCATCTTTGTTCTCCTCTATCTCTGATTTTCTCCTTAAATGCCTTCGTTTAAATGGTACAGAAAAATGTGTTGGTCTAGTAAGTCACTGGTATGTTTTCCCTAAATGTTTTTACCCTTGTTGTCTGGGGGTGTTTTTTTTTGTTGTTGTTGTTTTTGTTCTAGTGTGTTTTTTTCTTGTAAGGACTGGGTGCTTCTGGTGCCGGGTGTGGTTATGTTTTGCTCTGTTGTGGCCTGGGGAATTGAATGGTCCATGTTGTGCACTGGAGGTTCTGGGATAGTTGACCCTCGCAGCGTGGAGGAAGCGCTGCAGAGACGAGGCCAAGTTCCACAGCACAGTGGCCAAAGCATTACATCACCACTCAGAGCCAGTTCTCCACAGGGCCTTGCGAAGAGTATCTCACACACACACACACACATACACCCTGCTCCAGCTCTGTGTCATCCTCCTTTAACGATGTCTCATATTTAGATAACCACAAACACATGCATTCATACTGTACTTAGAGACTGTCAGGTAATAAAAATCAAGTAACAAATGAGATCTGCAGACATGCACATGTATGCATACATACACATGGAGATGCACATACTGTAGACACACACATAGTGGTTGCATATGTGAATTCAATTCTCCTCTAAAAACCTTCCTCTCCTGCTCAGATTGTTTGATATGTTTGTTTGTATAAGGAGCAACATTCACTATCATTTCTCATCTGTAATAAGGGAAGCCCAAACAGACACTTATCAAGCTGGTTCTAAATAACATCTGCGAGTGCCAGCTATGGGACATGACTCAGCTCATGTCAGTGGGACCCTTTTCATAGCGGTATGCTCCGGCATTGTTTCAGTGTCCCTTTTAAATGAGCTCCATGCGTTCCACACATCCTGCTTGCCTGCTAATTTCAGACAGAGGGACCTCGAAACTATTTGGTACTGAAGAATGAAAATGTGTTATTTATTATCCTCCAATTATCTATTGTTTACATTGTTACTAAGGACAATAATTTTGTCACTAAGCATCAGGCTAGGTGCTGAGTTTTTTATGAGGTAAACAATACTATAAGTTTCTTCACTGCAGCTCTCTTGGCTGTGGAGCTGGCACTAGATGGGCAGATGACATAATTCCTGGCATGCTCTAAATGTACTCCTTTTTATTTGAGGAGGGAAAAAACTGCGTCTCTTAAAGAAACATTTCATAGGACACAGGAGGACCAAAAATCAAAGTGTATCTAGTACTGTAATGCAGATTTTTACATTTCTTTTACACTGTTCTAATGCTTCAGTACAGTTACAGCGGGCATATTGATAGACTTAAAGACTTTTGTCCCAAACAGCTAACAAGTGAAAAATGAAAAAGCTGTGTGCAGATTGTGTCCAAAAATCCCAAGAAAAGAAACACTGTGAAGCAGCCACAAATGTGTGAGTTTTCTACTCTTCAACACTGTGATTGATTGAGTGATTAGTTCAGTATGAAGTCATTTGTTAGCAGTTAAGCCATTAGCCTACATGGTAACCCTATTACGTGTTCCACTCATTTTCTCTTGCTGTAGTAGCATAGCATCTCTGACTAAATCTCTTGTTGTGAGGAGGAGCAGCATACACAATAGGAGTCCAGGTTGTGTAAGCAACATCTGTATGAATGGTGGCATTGTCATGGTATGATGTCATGGGTGAAGGATAGTGAGCTAAGGGCACGACTGAGTCTGCATGCTGCTTCACTGACCACTAGAATACGTGTACTGTATACATGCTGCTGGTTGTGCTTGTTGTATAGATGGCTCACTTTCTCTGCATTGTCCTTTTACACCTTTTAAGGTGTAAACACTGGCACCCTCTCTAGCGATCATTGTCCTTGGAGTCAAAACACATCTGCTGACTAAGTGGGCTAAACAAACCATGAAGTTAGAGTTTGCACATACTTTTTCATACAAATCTGTTATGTACATATGTGTGGAGTTACATAAACATGGATGTGGATGCATAACAAACAGCTGTCAAACAGAGACACAGGACAAAAGGCACATGGATCTCAGACATACTGAGATGCAGTGTTACATAAAGAAAAGGTGCCAGTGTATTGGATGCCAAGAAAGTTTTGTAGATGATAAACATATGATGTTTCTATTGCCATGGAAGTGAGTGTTCCCAGTACAATGCAGTGCAGGAGTGAGGATTTGCTGGATCAATGTGTGTCAGTTTATCAGTGTTGGAGACAGACCAGAGAGGGGCCTCTCTCTCCCAGCTTCCACTGTGTTGCCAATGCCAAAGTGTCTGGTTTGTCTGAACCAGAGAGGCATACTCTACACTCACCGGCCTCTTTATTAGGTACACCTGTACTTCTGCCTTAACATCTGTGTTTTATGAAGCTCAAAATCATTCAGTTTTTGGTGATATTGTCATAGATGTGTACATTCAGTTATATGTTTATTATTGAGGTCATAGTTTAAGGTGGTGTTGTACTGGACTACATTATATTCAGAGGTGTTCCTAATATTCTGACCATCCTATGTATAGCTAGGGAGGACAAAAATATAGATACACCTCTATAGAGGTGTACCTAATAAAGTGGCCAATGAGTGTATATAGAAATAGTGAATCAAAGGTAAATGCTTTGTAGTTTTCAAGATGTCCTGCCTCTCATTTGACAGGCTTCATTCACTCATGAAATTGTCCGTTGGAATAATTAACAATGTGTTGAACCACAGATGCCCCATTTATCACACAGCTTTCACTACTTAATTTATTCTGTTCACATAAAACTG